CATTTTAGTTTACGGTAAAATTGTTTCTCATTATTAGCAAAAAGTTTATTGTTTTCTTTTCTAACTTGTGCTTTATTGTATCTCGCTAGCCTATGACTTTTAACTGAAAGTTTTTGTTTTAAAGTGTCCAAATATTCTTCTAATCGTTTATTAAAATCGTCGTGTGTGCTATGCTTTCTTGTTTTCTCTAAAATTTCTTTTACTTTTTTAACTACTTTTTTACTTTTATTTCCATTTTTATATTGTGTTAACCTACCTATATCCTTCCTTAATTGCTCAATATCTTTTTCTAATCTTATTTGCCAAAATGGCTTATGCCTCCGGGTTCTGGTACTGTAGTCTTTTACGTTTGCATTAAAGTGCATACTAATAGTTAATGCTGTACAATAAACTAGTGTATGTGTATCATGTATATTTTCTAGTGTGTTAAGTTTATTGGGTAATATGGATTCATTAAAAATATTTATAATTTTGGATAATTTGTAACTGTTTCTTAACTTTGGCAGGCTTGGCCTTAATGTTGCGTCAGTATTATTGTACGTAAGCAAATTGTTTTCAAGATTATCTTTAAGATTTTCTATACATTCCGGCTTTAAATCAAATTTACTAGTGTTATGTATGATTACGTTATAGGTATCAGTAGTTTGTGTATCATCTATTAGTCCATTGAATATTTCTTGTGTAGCAAGTGATTTATTATAATTATTTGTATTTTGTGTATTTTGTGTGCTTTGTGTAGTGCTGGTAGATGTGTTTGGTAAGTTTTCAAACGTGTCATTTGATACTAAATGGTTTGTATTAGAATTTTTATCTAACGTACTTTGAACTTCTTTGCGGATATTTTCTATTTCATTATCAGACAAGAACTTGTTTCTAATTATGGCTCTCCGTTGGTCAGACAGTCGCTGCTCCGAAACATTCGAATTAGGGTATTTATTTATAAAATGTTGATAAAGTTGTTGTCTATATTGAGTTAAATCAGTTTCTAATTTAGTAATTTGGAAGTATGTACGCATTATGAAAATGTTTACTTCTTTTTCCCACTTCATGCGTACACGTGGCTTGCCAGCTTTGGTGGTCGCAGGTCTCATTGCCGAAGCTACCCTTGAAACATCCAGAGCTGGTGGAGTCTGAGACTCCTGAGTCGGATCTATAAAAATTTGGCTAGACGTGGCTTCTTCAGGTTCATTCCCGGTAAAGGTCCGTCCGCTTAACTCCTTACCACCGACGGCTCGCATACTGTAGCACCCAGCGTCGGCTCCAGGTGCGCCCCGACGATTACCCCCGGGAAGCGACATTAAACGTTTCTCTTTGTTTCTTAACTCCATATTTGGGGGTTATTATTATTATTATACAAAAGTTATGCAAACTATTTGTTAAAATCCTATACATTTTTAACTAATGACTTAAAATTTTTTATAGAATTTCTATGATATGTTTATCAAACAACTCGCCCTTAGAATTATTTACTCAATCAAATCAAATCAAAAAAAATATTTGGTAAATGCGGAACATGTCAACGATACAAGGATATTCAACGCATACTGTTTTTGACTTACCCATATACATAACAATAATAAGCCTACCTCCTAATAATTTTCTGAATGAAAAAGTAGTTTAAAAGTACGAATTTACAGATAATCGTTGATAAATGACTTTTTATAAATTATTCAGACAGAAAGAAAACATACATAATGAGATGTAACAATTAAATATTTAACGAAAAATATTAAGCCAAACGTAATAAATTTTCGATAAAAAATTGTGGTGGCACGTCACTAATTCGCGGCTAACTTATGCGGCGTGTCCTTGGAATTTACGTACGCGACAATATTGTTCTTTACGCATGACTATTATTTCATTGCTGCTTTTAGCAGTTGTAATAGTAGACATGAACAAGCTTAAGTGGTAATGGTTATTGAATTGAAAAAAAAAACGTTTTCCTGCGATAATCGTAGTAGTGGTGGTGAAAACATTTGATTTGGCTATATTTCTTAAAAACGACATTATTTCAAAAATTAAGTACTTACATATGAAATGTTATCCCTTTATTTGTAAAGTTACAAATTTTGGAAGAATTTCCGCAGTTGGATATGCTGCAAAACACCATGTTTACCTCTCCGTGTCTCAAATAACACTAGTTACCGCAACAAACGCTTTACACGCGCTTGTGACCTACGAGTCACATGCGCGGCGACAAGGTCACGCGTCTATGCCACTTCTATTAGCTTATTATTAAGATTTCTGTGCCTTAAAGGGTAAGAATTGGTTGTGCTGTTTATATGAGGAAAAAATTGTTTATGGGCAAAATTACTTGAAACTTTGTATTAATGCTCTTCAAATCACTTGGGGTCGACGCAGTTCATCTTCTGTACTGCTGAAAGGATTTGGCAAAAGTTTTCCGACCGGCCGCCTCACACCTGCCTGACGTCAACTCTCCTCGGGAATGCTATTGTCTCTCTTTGCCTGAATGGTGTCGCGGAAGTCTTGTAATTATTATGCACTTTCAATTTGGTAGTCTTTTAAAACATTTTTTATACTATTACTTAAATTTATTTATACTATTACTTTAATGTTTTTTCGGATATATTTTAAAATAAATTTTGATTATACCATAAATTTTGTTTTGACGTCGTCAATTTTTTTTCTAAAAATTAACGCTCTTCAATACAACTAAATCAACATGTAGTATTTTAGTTTTTTTTTAATTCAGCCCCTAAGTGGGTAACACTGGGTGGTGAAGTTGGAGTTGTTGAATATACATAATATAATATTAGAATAGAGTAGCATAAGTCAAGTTCTCCGTAAGTGGGCGCTATAAAGTAGAGAACGGAGACTATACCAAACCCATAGGAAAATTATGTATAACTTCTCGGCTGGCCACAGCAGTGAAAACTATAATAGACCTAGAGCGCGAGAGAGAAAACCTAGCTATAGTCTGATTTTTAATTCGACGGAATTCGGACATTTCAGAAGTGTTGTCAACTTTGAAACATTGTCACTAGGAGTGGGTGATATAGCTTTTGCTGAATATCGAATCGAAACTATATATCGATATTCGATATCGGATATCGAAACTATATATTTTATGAATCTATATATTGTACTGATAACTCGATACGGATATCGTTTTCGATATTTTTGTTCGTTACATATATATCGATACGGAACAATTAGTGCATAAATATTTACATATATTTTAGTGCGCGTGAAAGAATGTTATATGAAAATGAATGAATGAACTTTCCTTCATACTTTACCCAGACTTAGGACTTATGCTTCTTTATTATTTTCTAGCTTTTATTTTATATATGCTCGCTATTAATGAAATACTTTCTTTGATCAAAAATATGTATTTAATAACAAAATCAATGAACAATAGCTAACAATGTCCTAGTTGCAATAATTGCACTCGAAACTAAAAAAAAAATTATTCGTCACCTAAAAATGCGCTTTAGGTTTTTCGTCTTTCCAAGGACAAAAGGTTAGTTTAATATTTAGATCTTAATATTATTGATATTATGTCATTACGTCCTACATATAAAGTCGATTATTGAACCATGCAAATAATATTAGTCCAGTCACACCATAATCGCTAAAAAAACAACAATATCGTATACTTTATATTGCAGAACCGTAAAGTTCAGAATTGAATGACAGCGTGCATAACTAAATATTTCACTTCATTCATCCATCTCACTTGTAAATCACGCGCGCCCTTTCACTCCCGCTCGGTGTGAATCAAGCGCAACAGTATAAAATAATAATATCTTATATCGCACATAATAATCGTCTATTCTTCGCATCATCGAATCAGTTCGGATATAGTGTTTTGCTCGATATATAGTTACTTCAGAGACCGATATAGCGATATACGATATCGATACAATATATAGTTTCAAAAACTATATACGATTGGTATCACTCACTCTTAATTGTCACTAAAAACGGACAACATTTTAGCAAAATAAAAAATAAATTCTTGAAGTTAAGGTTTCAATGAGGATCCGTAACGTTTTTAGTTAAGAATGTAGATTTATAGAGCTAAGAAATCCTTAAAGTACAGTGCAAAAATTTTTGTTCTACGACAAAAATTGACGAAGTTATGAAGAAATTACTAGCGAAGTTCACTCGATGGCGTGGCCGCTGCGATAGCTGTGACGTCATAGTGACGGTCGCCGCTAGTTTGCCGCTGGCAGAAATGAGGCGCGCAGTGTTTTAATGACTTTAAGTGTCCGATTTGTGTCTAATTCAAGTTTTTAATTATGTACAAATATTGTATAGTGCCGAAATGTACTACTTTTAAAACGCCAGACTACTTTGTAACGTACCGAAGGACCCAAAACGTCGTAAAAAATGGTTTTCCGTTGTAAAAAGAGATGATAAAACTCCACCCTCTGCCCAGGCTACAAGACATTGCTGTGAAGATCATTTTGATGTACGTAACTACATAACTATACTTATTACTTAGTACGAGTATATATATATATATATATATATATATATATATATATATATATATATATATATATATATATATATAGGATATTAATAAAAGCGTTTAAAGCACTAATTACTATTTATTCTTTAACAATTATACAAAGCAATGTTGACGCGAATCGTCGTGTCGTCATTATGACACAACAATTTTCTTTCCTTTTATTCATCTATTTCATTCCATTCCATTCTTAAAATTCTAACAAACGTCTCCTTGTATTCTTAAAATATCATTTCATGCATACTCATCTTGCAGATCCTACACTCGGCCATCCTGCATCCATGTCTGCCCTCAGACATACACTAAATATCTATATAGCTCTATTAACCTAACATTACAACTATATATAAATTATCCTCTAGTATAAAATTAAAAAAGTAAAATTACAAAACAAAAAATGCCTCAAAAACACATCAAGATGTCTGAATAATACAATAGTGAGGACTAACAACAACGAACACAAGTTCTTAAACTATGTCTGTCACCTGTTTTGAATAGGCTACTTTTTTATTTGAAGAGACGCTGTTGAAGCCTCCACAATCGATCTATATATGTTAGCGTCTATATTTTGTGTATCATATTGATTATTATCTTTTAATTTGATTATTTCATAAGGGCCGACACATCTTGGTTTTACTTTATGCCCAGTGCGAATCTCTATTCTTTTGAGGCTTCTTGTTTTCTTATTTTTTTTAAAAGTTCTTTTGATCATTGGCTTTTGTGAAATTATTTGTTTATTTACTTTAACTGGCATTATCTCACTACTGACAGATATGTCACTCTTGTATTCAACATTTTTCTCCTTTAAGTTGTTAACGGCGTAGGTTTTTGCTAATATTTTATTTCGACTTTTTAATTTTTCGTTTAATGTACTAGGACATTTTAAAACTGTAATCGCATCTCCTTGAGAAGCTGTGAACATGACATGTTTTGTCATTTTGTTGTCAGGGTTACCTGAAGATGTGCGATTACATACGTTAACTGCCGATCCATATTCGTTTCTATTACATGTAAAACTAATGTGACCGAATGCATTGCATTTAAAGCATTTAAGCCCTTTGTTTTTATGTGGGCACTGCAAAGATACATGACCCATTTCACCACAATTATAACATCGAATTCGTCGAACACTTGTAAAATTTTTGTTTCTTCTTGCTTCTTTCATTTTACTACTAATTGTTTCGTAAATTTTCAACTTCTCTTTCAATTCACTATAAGTGTTTACTCCGTATAACATCATTTTATTTATTTCTTTGTCACTTATTCCATCAATTATATATTTGATTACTACACCATCTTCCATTTTTCCTCGGTTACCTAGTTCCTTCATCACGAACATATAATTTATGCAGCTTTCATCCTGCTGTTTCCTTCTCGCGCTCATAATTTCGTGTATTGCTTTCGCATCTAGCTGGTCCGGAAATTCCTTAATTAACGCAGTCTTTAGTTCGTCCCAAGTTTTATATGGTCGCTCAGTCTTTAGCCAGAGTGCCGCCGTCCCGGTAAGCGATCTTCGCGCTATTAGTAGTTTTTGTAGCGGAGACCACTCAAAAATTTCGGCATTTGACTCCACTTCATCTATCCATTTTTCAATGGAGTAGGCATCGTCTTCACCACTAAAATTAGCCACTAATTCAGCCGTCATTTGAAGCATGTGTGGCGGATGCGACCTCGCCTCATGAAACTCCTCGGTTTCCATCTCTCGTCTTTCACGTCGTTGTCTTGACATCTTCGTCGTATAAAATATCAAGAGAATTTTGATAATGACGTCGCGTATCACAAAGCTATGTTTTTCAATAGAATAAGAGTTTTTTATTATTATCCCGGAGGGGCCCCCAATTGTAGGATCATTTGTAGGATCCGGGGATATCAATAAAAGCGTTTAAACCACTAATTACTATTTATTCTTCTAAAATATTATAAAACAATGTTTACGCGTATCGTCGTGTCGTCATTATGACACAACAATTTTCTTTCTTTTTATTCATCTATTTCATTCCATTCCATTCTTAAAATTCTAACAAACGTCTCCTTTTATTCTTAAAATATCATTTCATGCATACTCATCTTGCAGATCCTACACTCGGCCAATTTGTAGGATATTAATAAAAGCGTTTAAACCACTAATTACTATTTATTCTTTAACAATTATACAAAGCAATTTTGACGCGAATCGTCGTGTCGTCATTATGACACAACATTTTTCTTTCCTTTTATTCATCTATTTCATTCCATTCCATTCTTAAAATTCTAACAAACGTCTCCTTGTATTCTTAAAATATCATTTCATGCATACTCATCTTGCAGATCCTACACTCGGCCAATTTGTAGGATATTAATAAAAGCGTTTAAACCACTAATTACTATTTATTCTTTAACAATTATACAAAGCAATTTTGACGCGAATCGTCGTGTCGTCATTATGACACAACATTTTTCTTTCCTTTTATTCATCTATTTCATTCCATTCCATTCTTAAAATTCTAACAAACGTCTCCTTGTATTCTTAAAATATCATTTCATGCATACTCATCTTGCAGATCCTACATATATATATATATATAGAAAAAATACAAAAACTGCAATGTAAGAGTATACTATTATAGACTGACGTAATTTTCCATATCTTCTTTTAATTGAAATATAAAATACTAGCATTGCCCGCGGCTCCGCCCGCGTTCAGATGACCAAAAACCAAATTCTTAGGTTTATATCATATATTTATATTTATATATATTTTCTCAGAAATGAGATATTTTCCCGCTGTAAAAAGTATCCTATATGTTGACCCGGATAACCAGCTATGACCATACCAAATATCAAAATCCCTCCAGTAGTTTTTCTGTGATCCGGTAACAGACGGACAGACAAAAATTCTAAAAACTATAGATTCGGCCTCTGCATCGATAATGTCTATTTCAATAAGATTTTCCAAAAAATATTTAATGTACAGATTCGACTCAGTTAGAATTTTATTATATGTATAGATGTAGATACTTTCTAAATATGTTTAAATATCACAAACACACTTGAAAAAACACTAAATAAGTAATTACTAAATGTAGTAGCCAACCGCGTCGCGAAATTGTGAAGTAAGAGGCCTGGGCCGGCTACGTTCGGACCGTCACAGTGACGTCACATGCACCCGCGTACATGGATTTTGCCGGCAGGAAAGGCGTAATGTTTATTGCTTAATATCTTCTTAAGTTATGGTCTGATTTAGATAATTCAAAAAGATATATCATTCTTATGTCTTATAAAATAATGTGGATACTAGTTCTATGGAATTTGCTATTACTGTACTGATCCTCATTAGAAAAACTAAGACAAAAAAAAGACGTGTGGCACTCGGAGACTGCCGCGGTAAAGCTATTGCATAGCATTTTTTATCAACTTGTGCAATTATAATTATTTATTTATTTTATTAATGCAGTACTTTTTTCCTTTGTTTTTTTTTTCTTTGATATTAATTCAAGTTACACTTTGAGCGTGGTGACCGATTAAAAAACAATTTTTTTCCTTTTATTAAATAAATGAGATGTTAATATTGTTCAAAATATTTTTATTATCTTTCAATACATGTCGGTTCTTCAGGAATATTTATCATTGAAACTATAGGTTTATGGTAATTGAAATAAGAAACATAAGTTTGAGACTTGATATCTTCTAAATATCTGGAAAATACCGCGTCAATGGTGGTTCCATATTTTGTTGTGGATTCTTGTGGATCATTATTCATTTTCAAATTCAATATTTTCGAAAGCAAGCTGCATCGACTGCATCATTGTTGCTGTCTGTAAAGACTGTCTCTAAATAGTGTTCAGACGATAGCTCAAAGTGTATTAGATTTCATTAGTAATAGAAATGGCATTTCAATAATTACTTTCAACTGCCAAAGTCTAAATAGTCACAAATACGATTTACAAGATTCAGTTACGAGGCAAGTAAATGTGTTACTTCTTACCGAAACACATGTCAAATGTCAGATCGTCAGAAACGTCAGATGTCAGATGTCAAATCTGAGTGGGGGGTATTAGGTTTTTTTCGTTACGGAATTTCTGGATTCGGTCCCCACGCTCAAGGCCCGCGATAGAAGCTATGCAATAGCTTAAAAAATTATTGATTCCTCTAGAATGGTAATTACCTGATCGCCGGTAAACAAAATTACGGCCGTCGGAACCATGCAAAAATATTCTGCTTTCGTCAGTAATAAGAACCTTCTTCCACTGCTCCAAATTCCAATTCACGTGATCTCGGGCAAAAAGTAATCTTGCAATTCGATGTGCAGGGGTGAGTTTGGGGCCAGTTGCGTTAGTTTTGGTTAGGTTTGGGTTAGGTTTGGCGAAAAATATTCCAATGAGTTATTAGATATTATTACTTCATGTATATCAATTTACACAACGACGATCGAATATATATATATTGTTTTTTTTTTTGTTTTTTGTTTGTTTTTTTTTTTGTCAGATCGTCAGAAACGTCAGATGTCAGATGTCAAATCTGAGTGGGGGGTGTTAGGTTTTTTTCGTTACGGAATTTCTGGATTCGGTCCCCACGCTCAAGGCCCGCGATAGAAGCTATGCAATAGCTTAAAAAATTATTGATTCCTCTAGAATGGTAATTACCTGATCGCCGATAAACAAAATTACGGCCGTCGGAACCATGCAAAAACATTCTGCTTTCGTCAGTAATAAGAACCTTCTTCCACTGCTCCAAATTCCAATTTACGTGATCTTGGGCAAAAAGTAATCTTGCAATTCGATGTGCAGGGGTGAGTTTGGGGCCAGTTGCGTTAGTTTTGGTTAGGTTTGGGTTAGGTTTAGCGAAAAATATTCCAATGAGTTATTAGATATTATTACTTCATGTATATCAATTTACACAACGACGATCGATTATATATATATTGTTTTTTTTTTGTTTTTTGTTTGTTTTTTTTTGTCAGATCGTCAGAAACGTCAGATGTCAGATGTCAAATCTGAGTGGGTGGTGTTAGGTTTTTTTCGTTACGGAATTTCTGGATTCGGTCCCCACGCTCAAGGCCCGCGATAGAAGCTATGCAATAGCTTAAAAAATTATTGATTCCTCTAGAATGGTAATTACCTGATCGCCGGTAAACAAAATTACGGCCGTCGGAACCATGCAAAAACATTCTGCTTTCGTCAGTAATAAGAACCTTCTTCCACTGCTCCAAATTCCAATTCACGTGATCTCGGGCAAAAAGTAATCTTGCAATTCGATGTGCAGGGGTGAGTTTGGGGCCAGTTGCGTTAGTTTTGGTTAGGTTTGGCGAAAAATATTCCAATGAGTTATTAGATATTATTACTTCATGTATATCAATTTACACAACGACGATCGATTATATATATATTGTTTTTTTTTGTTTTTTGTTTGTTTTTTTTTGTCAGATCGTCAGAAACGTCAGATGTCAGATGTCAAATCTGAGTGGGGGGTGTTAGGTTTTTTTCGTTACGGAATTTCTGGATTCGGTCCCCACGCTCAAGGCCCGCGATAGAAGCTATGCAATAGCTTAAAAAATTATTGATTCCTCTAGAATGGTAATTACCTGATCGCCGGTAAACAAAATTACGGCCGTCGGAACCATGCAAAAATATTCTGCTTTCGTCAGTAATAAGAACCTTCTTCCACTGCTCCAAATTCCAATTCACGTGATCTCGGGCAAAAAGTAATCTTGCAATTCGATGTGCAGGGGTGAGTTTGGGGCCAGTTGCGTTAGTTTTGGTTAGGTTTGGGTTAGGTTTGGCGAAAAATATTCCAATGAGTTATTAGATATTATTACTTCATGTATATCAATTTACACAATGACGATCGATTATATATATATTGTTTTTTTTTTGTTTGGGTTAGGTTTGGCGAAAAATATTCCAATGAGTTATTAGATATTATAACTTCATGTATATCATTTTACACAACGACGATCGATTATATATATATTGTTT